CCGCGCACCGGCCCGCTGGGGGGTGGCTTCCTGCCGCGGCGCCGCACCTGAGCTCCGCAGGACCCCTCTCGCCGCGTCTGTGGACAAGAGCGGGGGGATCGGCCACCCTGACTCGGTTTTGGTTTTTGGTTTCCTGAACAGGATCGCGCTGTGAAAGGCACACCTGGAGAGACTCAAGGGGGCGGTGCGCCTTTTACTTCTTCCCGTTTTTTTGTTTTTTGTTTTTTTGTTGTTGTTGTTTGATTTGGAGTCTCACTCTGTCGCCCAGGCTGGAATGCAGTAGCACGCTCACGGCCACCGCAGCCTCGACCTGCTGGGCTCAGGGATCCTTCCGCCTCAGCCTTCCTAGTAGCTGGAACTACAGGCACGCACCACCACGACCGGCTAATTTTTTGGTTTATTGTAGAGACAAGGGCTCACCAAGTTGCCTAGGCTGGTCTCGAACACCTGGACTCAAGCGATCTTCTCACCTCGGCCTCCCAAAGAGCTGGGATTACAGACTTGAGCCACCGCGCCCGGCCACTTCCTCCCGTTACAGTAAAGTCTCACCTGGCGGCCCGGGTTGCCCATTGGTGTCACCCAGGGAGCCCTCAAAACCACCGATGTCAGAGTAGGCCCCCTGATTGTCATGAGACTGAGTGAGGCTTGGGCACTGGGAGGCTCATTACCGTAAAAGTGAGTTCACTTCCCAGCTGTTCCGCAGGCTGCCCCAGAAGCAAGGAAATGGTTTGGACTTTGGAGTGAGATAGACCCTGGGCTCCCATCCAAACCTGCCACTCATTCAGTCTGTGACTTCTTGTTCAGAATCTCTGAGTCTCCATTCCATCTCAGACAGAGATAAGAAAGCCTATACTGGAGAGGGTTATTATGAAGATTTCTGCAGATGGCATCTAAGCTCTTGACATCCGGTCTGGGCCACAAGTGCTCAGTACATGGCAGAACCTGCATGTCAGCCCTCCTGACTTGACAGAAGCGAGTACTTGGGCACGGTGGTTCACACCTGTAGTCCCAGCACTTTGGGAGGTACAGGCGAGATGGTTGCCTGAGCCCAGGGGTTCCAGATCAGCCTAGGTAACTTGGCAAGACCTCGTCTCTACAATAAAATCAAAAAAGTAGCTTGGTGTGGTGGTGCGTGCCTGTGTTCCCAGCTACTTGAAAGGCTGAGGCAAGATTGCCTGAGCCCAGGAGGTCGAGGCTGCAGTGGCCATGAGCATGTCACTGCACTCCAGCCTGGGCGACAGACTCTGATTGGAAAAGAAAGAAACTAGCACTTGGCTTTCCAGCAACCACAAAGACCTCTTGAAAGGGCCCACCAAGGTCCCCCACAGAGCACAAAGCTGATAGGGTGACCTCCCAGCTGAATTTGTAGGGAAAGAAAAATGTTGAAATAAGGCTCAGGTTGAGAAGCTTATGGACCAGCAGCTCCTCATAAGAATGTGATTTTCCATTTTGGGTTTCAGGCTGATTCTAACCCCGATCAAGTTTCCTGGGGGCCGCTGGAATGGGCATGGCTTAATGGAACCCCCAAGTGGACAGGACTGGGCATGGAGGGACAGACCTTCTGAAATGCAATCCTCGGACCCCATGCATCTGGACCTTTCTGTAGGAACCACCCATCAGCAGTGTCGGACAGAACCTACCATATGCACTGACCACCCCATGAGGTGGGGCTGGTTTGGGTGGGCTTGTTTCAGCCATGCCCACAGACGAACTGAGAGGCAAGTTGGAGGGCAGATCTTTTGGCCACCAGCACACTCTCCTGCTATTTACAATGGGGTTGTTGGCTGGACGTGGTGGCTCAAGCCTATAATCGCAGCACTTTGAGATGGCGAGAGGATTGCCTGAGCTCAGGGGCTCGAGATCAGCCTCAGCAATATGGCAAGACTTCATCTCGACAATAATTCAAAAAATCAGCTGAGTGTGGTGATGCATACCTGTGGTTCCAGTTACTTGGAAGGCTGAGGCAGAAGGATCACCTGAGCCAAACAGGTCGAGGCTACGGTGACTGTGAGTGTGCCACTGCACTCCAAACTGGGTGCCAGAGTAAAACTCCTACTCAAAAATAAAATAAAATCAAAATAAAATAAAATAAAATAAAATGGGTTTGTGCCAGGCATGGTGGCTCACATCTGTAATCCCAGCACTATGGGAAGCCAAGGCAGGAGAACTGCTTGAGCCCAGGAGTTCGAGACCAGCCTGGGCAACATAGCAAGCCCTCGTCCCTACAATAAATATAAAAAATTAGCCAGGCACAGTGGCATACACCTATAGTCCCTGCTACTCGAGAGGCTGAGGCAGAAGGAGCCTGAGCCCAGAAGGTTGAGGCTACAGTGAACCATGATCATAAAACTGCACCCCAGCCTGGGTGACAGAGTGAGATCCCAACTCAAAAATAAATAAATACATATACACATAAATAAAATAAAATTTTTAAATGGGATTGCAGCAGGGGTGGAAGGTGGTTCCCACTGTGGTTGCCCCTTCCTCCCTGTGGCACATGAAGACCTGAAAATAACCAAAGAGGGACAACCAGCTGCCAGCCTGAAACCGGATGACTGCAGAAAGCCCTCAGCTCAGATAGAAGACTTTAAAAGGGAAATGTGGAAGCCAAGAACAACCATCTAAGACCCAACTTGACTTCTCCCCATCTCTAATCCACTGGCAGAAGCCTGTGCTCAGGAGTCATACAGATGGAGTTCCCATCCCAGCTCTCCCATTTGCTGGCTATATGACTTGGGAAAGTTACTTAACCTCTCTGAGCCTCTATTTCCCAATTTGTTTTCTGTTTTTGATTTTTTTGAGTCAGAGTCTCACTCTGTCGCCCAGGCTGGAGTGTAGTGGCACACTCACGGCCACAGCAACCTCGACTTGCTGGGCTCAGGCGATCCTTCTGCCTCAGCCTTACAAGTAACTGGAACTATAGGTACACTTTTTCCCAATTTGTAAGGTGAGAGCAACAATATACAAATTAGCCGGGATTGATGGCTCAGCCTATAATACCATGCCTTGGGAGGCTGAGGTGAGTGGATTGCCTGAGCCCGCGGGTTTGAGACCCGCTTGGGCAACTTGGTGAGACCTCATCTCTACAATAAATCAAAAAATTAGCCGGGTGTGGTAGCGCGTGCCTGTAGTTCCAGCTACTCGGAAGGCTGAGGCGGAAGGATCGCCAGAGCCCAGCAGGTCGAGGCTGCGGTGGCCGGGAGCGGCCACTGCACTCCAGTCAGGGCACGGAGAGAGACTCCAATTCAAAACAAACAAACAACAATATACAAATTATTAGTGTTGTGGTTCACATGAAAATATCTGGTTGGCCAAGAGCAGTGGCTCACGCTTGTAATCCCAGCACTTTGGGAGGCAGAGACGAGAGGATCGCCTGAGCTCAAGAGTTCAAGACCAGCCTGAACAACATGGCAAGACTTTGTCTCTATAATAAATCAAAAAATTAGCTGGGCATGGTGACACATACCTGTGGTTCCAGCTACTTGGAAAGCTGGGGTGGAAGGACCACCTGAGCTCAGTCAGTTGAGGTTGCAGTAGCAATGAGCATGCCACTGCACTCCAGCCCAGGTGACAGAGTGAGACTCAGACTCAAAAAAAAATTAAAATAAGTAAATAAATAAATAAAAGTTCTGGTTGACTGGGTGAGGTGGCTTATGCCTATTACATACAGCACTTTGGAAGCTGAGGCAGGAGGATTTCTTGAGCCCAGGAGTTTGAGACCAGCCTGGGAAACATAGTGAGACCTTGTCTCTAAAAAAAAAAAAAAAGATCCAGGCTCGGTGGCTCAGCCTGCAATCCTGCGCCTTTGGGAGGCTGAGGTGAGTGGGTTGCCTGAGCCCGCGGGTTTGAGACCCGCCTGAGCAGGCGAGATCTCATCTCTACAATAAATCAAAAAATTAGCCGGGCATGGTAGCGCACGCCTGTAATTCTGGCTACTCGTAAAGCTGAGGAGGAAGGATCGCCGGAGCCCAGCAGGTCGAGGCTGCGGTGGCCGGGAGCGGCCACTGCACTCCAGTCTGGGTGACAGAGTGAGACTCCAACTCAAAAAAAAGAAAAAGAAAAAGAAAGGCTGGGCATGGTGGCTCATGCCTATAATCCCAGCACTTTGGGAGGCCAAGATGAGAGGATTGCCTGCGCTTACAGGTTCGATACCAGCCTGGACAATTTGGCGAGACCTCATCTCTACAGTAAATCAAAAAATTAGCAGGACATGGCGGCATGTGCCTATAGTTCCAGCTACTTGAAAGACTGAGGCAGAAGGACCACCTGAGCCCAGCATGTCAAGGCTGCTGTGGCTGTGAGCATGCCACTGCACTCCAGTCCAGGTGATGGAGTGAGACTCCAATTCGGGGGGGAGGGGGAACCTGGTCCTACCTTTATCTTCCTAGCTCCATTATTGGTATCTCCATGCCTTACATGCAATTATGTTCTTACAATATTATCTGTGGCTTCTCACCTCCTGCCTTTGTTCGTCCTCTCCCTCCCCTCTACCAGGAACTGCCTTCCTTTGTCCTTCACCACAGTTAAGATTTGGCTCCTCTGAAGCCAAGATGATCTTTCAGAAAATAAAAATAAAAAAGTCTCAGATGTATTTTCCAGGAAGCTGTCTGGTGTCTTTCCGACTTCCCTGGAATCCCATTATTCCAAAGTCACGCTGGGTCCTACCCACCCTTAAAACTTGGCTTGGATGTCTTTTCCAGGAAGCTATCCGGTCTCTTTCCTGGAATCCCACCATCCACAAGGTCGGATTAGGTGACTGGGTCTGTGTTCCCTCAAAATCCTATGCTGACTTTGTTTACCACCCAGTCTTCTCTGCCATACCATAAAACTCACCTCTGGTGAGAGGACTGCCTAAGCCCGCGGGTTCGAGACCAGCCTGGGCAACTTGGCGAGACCTCATCTCTACAATAAATCAAAAAATTAGTTGGGCATGGTGGCATGTGCCTATAGTTCCAGCTACTTGGAAGGCTGAGGTGGAAGGATCGCCTGAGTCCAGCGAGTCGAGGCTGCAGTGGCCGGGAGCGTGCCACTGCCCTCCAGCCTGGGTGACAGAGTGAGACTCCAACTCAAAAAAAAAAAAAACTCACCTCTGTATCCCCACTGCAGAACAGGACCTGGCACACCATGAGGGCCTCTGTCTGGGAACCATGGCCTCCCCTAGCATGGATTCTGAGCAAGCTCTCTGACCTTCACCCTCCAAGCCCCACCTGCATTCTACAATAATGGAGGTTCAAAATTTGCGACCAGCATTTCAGGCTTTGTTATGACAGACACTGGTACAGAAGGGAAGACAACACAGCTGTACAGTTCAGCCTAACTTGCCCACCGAAGAATATTGAGGACTTTAATCATCTGAGCATCTCTCTTGGGTAACCCTGCGGTTTACAAAGTGCCTTCACATAAGCAGTCTCCCTTGAACTGCTCAGCCCTGAGGACTGGGAGGTATCGCCCCTAATTTTCAGATGAGCAGACTGAGGCTAAGAGATGTAAAATGACTTGCTGGTAACAGCAGCTCTAGGGAGAGGTCTGTCTCCTAGCCCAGGACTCTCACTGAGGGAGGCTTAGGGGGC